CGGGGCGCCCGCCGCCAGGGGCCGCGCGGAGTTCACCGGCTGGGAAACGGGGTGCGAGCGCGGGGCCAGGGGCTCTGCGGCCAGCCTCGGTTTCACGACCTCACCCGACGCGGAGAGCTGGGACTCAGAACCACGAGCCTCGCTCGGACGCTGCTCCTCTGCCGCGAGGGGCCCTTAGAGAACTAGGCGACCTCGCGTGGAAGCCGGGCCCGTTCCGAGGTCTGACCTCGCTGCCTCTGGCTGCTGGGCGCCTCCGGGTCTGTGCGTGCAGGTTCGGGTGTGGGCATTTACTCCAGGTCCCCGCCTGGCGTTCCGACTCCTCCCCCGGAACGTGTCCGAGCGTCTGGGCCCGAACGCACCGCTCGCGTCACTTCCGGTGGTGAGTGGGCGTGGTCTGCAATTGTGGGCGGGGCCGAGCGTCCGGACCTGGTTCAAGTCCGCCACGGCTTGTGTGTCAAGTGTGTCAACGCGCCCCGGAGTTCCCACTGTGGTCCGCAGGCCCCACCCCACCCGCTCCGGTCTCCGGAGCTGCTGGAACTGGCCCCGGCCCCGCCGTGGCTGCGGATAATCGAGACCACCAGGAGTGCCTCCCGCCAGCGCTCCTCACCTATCCGGACCTGCGCTGGGGATCCTATCACAGGGAAACTGAGGCCCAGACGGGCGCAGTGACCTGCCCCAGGGTCCACATCCAGCTTGGGACCCTAGGGTACCTCAGCAGACTGTCCTCCCTCCCTCCCCACGCCACCAGGGGTCAGTGGTGGGAGGCTGGGACTTGGGGTGTTCTTAGTGTGGCCTTGTTTCACCGACCCCGTCCTCTGTCAACGCCAACAGGTGTACACATTCGTGCACACACGTCCACACGTACCCCACGCATCATCCTCACCCACAGCATTGTGCTGGGAGGCCATGACCACCGTTCGGAGAAAGCGGACCCGCTTCCCCAGCCCTGGCCTGCCAAGCCAGAAAGGTGTTGAGAGCTTCTCATGGTCTTGATTGCCCAGCGATAGGGAAGCACCTGCTGTCCAGAAAAGGATCTGTTTCCCCAGCTCAAGTGTCCTCACTCCCGGCTGCCCTGCCTCTCTGGAGGCTCAGGGAGGCTGGCTTCTCCGCCTGGCTGGCACCCCGCAGCCTGGCATATAGTATCCCTCTTTGCACTGTTTTGCAAGATGAGCAAGTGGTTTTGGAGGTGTTTGCTTTTTGTGCTGATACTGGGGCTTGAACTCGGGCTAGACTGTCCTTCAGCTTCAGCTCTTTACCTCTAAGCTAGCACTCTACCACTTGAGTCACAACTCCACTTCTAGGGTGGTTAATTGGAGATCGTCTCATGCAACTTACCTGCCTCTAAAGTAGCTAGGATTTTAGGTATGAGCTACTGTGTCTGGTTTTTTAGGTTTAAGAGTTCCTTGTATGTTTTAGTTAACAGCCCTCTATTAGGGAATCTCCTACAGAGACTCCCTGTGTGAGGGGTTCTTCACTGTCTTGACATTGTCTTTTGCAGGCCAGAAGTTTGTTTTGAGGAGGTCCAGCTTTCAGTTACTCTTTTATAAGATGATGCCTTTGGTCTTGTGTCTAAACAGTCATCACTAAGTCAGCCCATCTAGGTTTTTTCCTATCATCTAGGAGTTTATGCCTTTGCCTTGTTTTTCGAGATTGGGACTCAGTATGTGATTCCACTGACTTCATGCTCTCGGGCTCAAGACATCCTCCTGCTTAGCCTCCTAAGTACCTGGACATGGCTCTAGTTTTACATTTCCATTTGGAGTTTGTTCTTTTCCTTTTGAATGCAGGGATTTGTGTGTGCTAGCAGAAGCACTCTGCCACTGAGCTACACATCCAGTCCTTTTGAGTGAATTATTTATTTATTGGCAGTTCTGCAATTTTGAACTTAGAGCCTCTGACAAAAGTTCTAAGTTTTTTGTTTTGGTCGATCATGGGGCTTGAACTCCGGGCCTGGGCGCTGTCCCTGAGCTTTTGTGCTCAAGGCTAGTGCTCTACCATTTTGAGCCATAGTGCCACTTCCAGGTTTTTTGTTTTTGTTTTTGATAACTAATTGGAAATGAGCATCTCACAGACTTTCCTGACCAGGCTAGCTTCAAACCATGATCCTCAGATCTCAGCCTCCTTAGTAGCTAGGATTATAGGTGTGAGCCACCAGCAAAAGTTCTAAGTTAGGGCTGGGAAGGTGGCTCAGTGGTAGAGCGCTTACCTTGCATGCTTGAGGCCCTGGGTTCAATTCCTCAGCACCACATAAGCAAAAAGAAAAAAGCCGAAAGTGGCGCTGTGGCTCAAGTGGTAGAGCGCTAGCCTTGAGCTGAAGAGCTGAGGGACAGCGCTCAGGCCCAGAGTTCAGGCCCCATGACCGGACCCAAAAAAAAAAAAAGTTCTAAGTTTTACCTTCTATGACTTATTTCTTCTTGTTGGAGAAAGGCGCCTAATTTCTTTTCTTCTCTTTTGTCAGTCGTGGGGCTTGAACTCTGGTCCTGGGCACTGTCCCTCAGCTCTTCAGCTCAAGGCTAGTGCTCTACTACTTGAGCCACAGCGCTACTTCTGGTTTTCTTTTCTTTTCTTTTTTATTGTGAAAATACTGTACAGAGGGGTTACAATTACATGGGCAAGATAGTGAGTACATTTCTTATCAAGCATTGTAGCCTCCTCCTTTGTTTACCCTTCCCATCCCTTCCCATCTCCTTCCCTTCCCTCCCCTCCCACCCAATCCTCCCCCCCCCAAGTTGTAAAGTTTGTTTTTGACATGACAACTTGTACTTCTCATTGTTGCAACAGGTCCACCTGTATCCTTATTTAAACGACTTGTTTTTCTACTTCTGGTTTTCTGATGGTTTATTTATTTTTATTTTTTTTGGGTCCGGTTGTGGGGCCTGAACTCTGGGTCTGGGCGCTGTCTCTCAGCTCTTCAGCTCAAGGCTAGCGCTCTACCACTTGAGCCACAGCGCCACTTCCGGCTTTTTTCATTTTGCTTATGTGGTGCTGAGGAATCGAACCCAGGGCCTCAGGCATGCAAGGCAAGCGCTCTACCACTGAGCCATCTTCCCAGCCCCTCTGATGGTTTATTAGAGATAAGTCTCATAGACTTTCCTGCTCCAGCTGGCTTTGAACTGCAATCCTCAGATCTCAGCCTCCTGAGTAGCTAGGATTACAGGCATGAGCCATAAGCTCCTGGCCTTTTTTTAGCCTTGAGCACAAAAGCTCAGGAATGCCCAGTCCCTGAGTTCAAACCCCACCACTGACAAAAAAAAAGCTTTAATTGAGCTATTCCCCATTTACCATGTGATTACCCCATCACTCACTAAGAAATGACCCATAAGCAGTCACACATGGTAGTTCTTAGTCCAAACTTGCCTGAAACATTTTCTGTGATTAGGCTGGGATGAGATCCTGCTACCCCTGTTACCCAGTGGGGAATGAATGGGGGGAGGGGATGTTGAAAGGGAAGATTAAGAAAAGCTGGCTGCAGGTGGCTCACACCTGTCATCCTAGCTACTCAGGAGGCTGAGATCTGAGGATCACAGTTCAAAGCCAGCCTGGGCAGGTAAGTCTGTGACTCATATCTAATTAAACATACAAAAAAATGCCAGAAGTGGAGTTGTGGCTCAAGTGATAGAGCACTAGCCTTGAGCATAAAAGCTCAGAGACAACACCCAGGCCCTGAGTCCAAGCCCCAGTAGTGGCATACCAAAAACCACAGCAAAACAGAGCAAGTGGCTCAGTGGTAGAGTGCTTGCCTTGCATGCATGAGGCCCTGGCTTCGATTCCTCAGCACCACATAAGCAGAAAAAGCCGGATGTGGCACTGTGGCTCAAGTGGTACAGCACTAGCCTTGAGCTGAAGAGCTGAGGGACAGTGCCCAGGCTCAGAGTTCAAGCCCCACTACCAAAAAAAAAAAAAGAATGATTGTTTAAAAAAAATAAAACAGAGTTCAATGAGGGATGGAGAACTTACAAACTTGTTAACCAGACGGTGATGTTTATATGGAGAAATAGCCTGAGTGACGCATTTGCTCCTCTCAGTTTCTCATTTCTCACAGTTCTTGCTGGTATATTTGCAGTGCTATTAGATGCATAAAGGCTCAGAGGCAATTCATGTGTCCTAAAAATAATCCTTGTTCGCATTTCCTGTTGATCACATGGGGGGGTGCTCCCAAGCCATGACCATTGATTGGGTCATTTTTCCTTGCCAGTACCCCAAAGCATTATTTATCTCTGGGGAGGACTTAGCTCCATCACCTACCCAAGGTCATACAGCAACATGGACAAACCCAGCTTGGAGCCACTCAGGCTTTTGGGATAATCTCTCTCCAAGTACAACTGTCAGCTGGCGCACTTTTGTCCAGACAGTTGGATCACTCATTCAACTTCACTCCCCTACATGGAGTAAGTCATTTTCTACCTGTACATGACTTCCCACCCTATAGATGCACTTTATGCCTGCTCCAGAACATTCTGCTGGCCAGTTGCTCACTAATTACTCCTCAGGTCCCCTGTGGAAGGATATGTAGATTCTATTTAGGTTTTCTTACTCTGTTTGCAAGCTAGTATGTCAGCTCCCTGCTCCCTGTCACATATCTGTCTAGAAAACAAAAATCCCTACTGGGTCAAAAACTAAAATGTTTCCAAGTCTGAACTTCACCAAATTCCCCTCTACGGGAGGCTGTCCCGTCCCGTGGGAGCAGCGAGGACTGTTTTAAGTTCAGGAGCACAGGAGGTCCCTGCCAGAGCATGCAAGAACGTGGGAAGTGCCTTCCCCACCGTCCACCCCTCTGGGCCCAGTGTTTCTCCAGCTCAGGACACATTGACCTCAGAGCCTTTGAACTTGCAGTTCCCTTAGCGTTGTGTGCTCTCCTTCGGATCCCTGAGGCTCCAAGAGTCATAGTTGTCCCAGGCCATTTTCCACAGCCTGTCTGGGGTTTATTTCCTTTACAGAACTTAATATGAATCGGGCACACCAGTATCTCACACATATGATCCAACCTACTCAGGATACTGACATCTGAGGATCGTGTTCAAAGCCAGCCTTGGTAGGAAAGTCCAAGAGACTCAGCTCCAATTAAGCACCAAAAAGCTGGAAGTGGAGCTGTGCTATCATTGAGAACAAAAGCTCAGGGGCCGTGCCCAGGCTTTGAGCTCAAGCCCCAGGACTGGCACGAAAAGAACGATAGAACTTACTATAACTTGAAATCTCTTATTTAGTTGAGACTTTCTTGTCTCTCCCACTCTACAAAGTCTACATCTCTGGGACCTAGAACCTAGTCTACAGGGCCGCCTGTCCTCCCTACCCCAGACCACTTCATTTTTCTGCCTATAACAGAAGTATTCCCTTCTAACGTGTGTGTACTTTGCCTGTTACGTGTAGTCTGATTCCTCACAAGTCTGTCAATTCCTGAAGAAGGGATCGTGTTGGTTCATGGTTGAATCCAATTAAAAATTTTTTTAAAGAGGTGGGAGCCTCATTAAATTGCTCAGGCCAACTCTGAGCCCTTGGACTCCAGGGTCTCCCCCCCCCCCGCCGGGCCCGGCCTTGGGCACGCACCGGGAGCTTCCTCGGGAGTTGTGGGCAGATGAGTGTCTGGACCAGGGTCATAAACCCCGTCCGTCGCTCTGGGGCTGGCAAGCTGTCCCTGCGAGAACGCTCTGTCCTGTTAAAGACCGGCACGCCCGCCCATTCATCCCCACCGAGGACGGG